AATTTTTAAATATTTATATATATTTACATATTCATGAGTTATATCCTCAAACAGAACAATATTATATCTATATGAACTATCTCTGCCTTTACTGTTTTAATGGTTTTCTCTTGATTTCCACTTTGCATATCATCAGTTTCAACAACATTGATATTGCCACATCTATTTTTTCTTTTAATAACAACTGCCCCATTTAACTTTCTCCTCCTTCAAATTTCCTCACATCCCAAATCCAAAATTTTAACAAATTTTAGAAGAAGGCAAGTTACCTACACATAGGTTGAACCAAAAGCCCTTGTATTACAAGTCTAGTTTGTGGTTATCAAACTTCCTACTGTGAATTATTACAGGAGGCTGGGCGTGGTGGCCCATGCCTATAATCCTAGCACTCTGGGAGTGCCGAGGTGGGAGGATCTCTCCAGGTCAGGAGTTTGAGACCAGCCTGAGCAAGAGCGAGACCTCGTCTCTACTAAAAATAGAAAGACGTTAGCCAGACAACTAAAAATATATAGAAAAAAATAGCCAGGCATGGTGGCGCATGCCTATAGTCCCAGCTACTCGGGAGGCTGAGACAGGAGGATTGCTTGAGCCCAGGAGTTTGAGGTTGCTGTGAGCTGGGCTGATGTCATGGCACTCTAGCCCAGGCAACAGAGAGAGACTCTGTCTCAAAAAAGGAAAAAAAAAAAAAGAATTATTATGGGAAAGCTTATATCCTCATAAAACCATCAATTCTACTTATTACCTGCTGCTGGAGGGGTCTTTAGGGGAAAGTAAATCACTCTACTATTGGACTACCTGATTTATGCTTTTTTGTATGGTGGAGAAGAAATATGATGCATAAATTCAAAAAAGGCAGGAAGGAGGGAAATGACCTAGATGACACATTGTAATCCTTCAATGAAGATGAGCCTATCAGGGCTCAGCTCTATCCACTTGAATTTAAACCAAGGGAAAGAGGAATCCAACTGGTTCATTTCGAGAAAATGGAAATAACATGGAAATCTTGAGTAAGAGAAAAAGTGCAAATCTGCCAAAATGAGTAGCTGGGTGAAAGGCTTGCCAGTTTTCCTATCTTTCTTCATGCTAATCAAGAATAAACTGTGTGATGGCTCTCTTCCTTTCACTTTATAACAATCTCAGACTATCTGCAGGGTTTTCATGCAGGGTTCACAGACTAAACTTTGATAATTAGTGGTCTATATGAACAAAAAAACACTGGCATACAGTAGGTGGTCAATAAATGATAGTCATGTGTACTTACTTCTGAATATCTCCAGTGTTTCTTTGCTTGTTCTTACTTTTCTTTTCAGACTTGCTTGTTACTGGAGCAGATTTTCTGGAATTCAAGGGAGAAGCCAGGATACTTCCCTCATAAAAATTGTTCTTCAACAACAACAAAAAAAAGCATAACAAACATTATTAAAGAGAACTTCATGATAAAATAAGAAATTTGACTAAGAACCCACAGAATTTTTCAGCAATTTCACTTACATTTAAATTCTATACATCTTTTGAAGAACACTGACCATGTAAAACACGGTATAATCAAAATTAAGTCTATCCAAGTTGGTCTAAATTAATTATATTTTTACTGTACATTATAAAGCACAAAAAAGCATGATGATACTAATCTTATTAGCTGATAATTTGTTGATTTTTCTAATAAGTAGCTTCATATAATTATAACTACCTTAATCTATAGGGGAAAATTCAAAGAGCTGTGGATATACCTGGAGTGGTGTTAGTTTTACATAAAAATAATTTAATTTTGGACTTTAAGAGCATATCATATGAATAAATATCACAAATATTTACTTGCTGTACCAGTCTCAAAGTTTCTTACCACAATATTAGCAAAGTTCATATAATCTGTGATGGTGAACATTTGACCCTGAACCATGAAACTTTCACAAGTATAAAAAAATTATTCTAGGCCGGGCGCGGTGGCTCACGCCTGTAATCCTAGCACTCTGGGAGGCCGAGGCGGGTGGATCGTTGGAGCTCAGGAGTTCGAGACCAGCCTGAGCAAGAGCAAGACCCCGTCTCTACTAAAAAAATAGAAAGAAATTAGCTGAACAACTAAAAATATATATATAAAAAATTAGCCAGGCATGGTGGCGCATGTCTGTAGCCCCATCTACTCGGGAGGCTGAGGCAGGAGGATCGCTTGAGCCCAGGAGTTTGAGGTTGCTGTGAGCTAGGTTGATGCCACGGCACTCTAGCC